TCCGTTGCGCGGAGGTAATAAAAATAAAAATATATATATACATAACTGATATGTAACTAACTGCCATGACTAATGCAACCCTGTGTGGGAAGAGAAACGTGTTTCTAGAAACATAATTTATTGATTCAGCTTCCCTTTAACACGAGCTTACCTCCAGTGTTCAGAACCCTTTTCATTGATATTCTCTGCAAAGAACACTAAGCCCACTGAAAGAGAGAATCAAAGGTTTTAGGCCTAAATATAAAGAAACTAACACTAAATTGCCGTTTTGAAAGTGCCTATATATGACCAAGAAGTTAAAACCAATATGTGTTAATATCATTGCAACCGATCACAGGTAATGGTTATGTAAATCATCGTATATATAGCAACCATGCACTGACCAGGAGGTGGTACTTACAAAAGCCAACAAATAGAAAGGCCTGTATGTTGACATAATTCCTAGAAGTAAAGACCATCAAGCTGCATAGCAAGTGGACGGCTATCAACCCAATGAGCCAGGGCTCACTCCAATCAATCTGTACATGAGACCAAAAATGAGATAAAATATAAACAATCTTAATTCATCAAACCATGTCCTCACAGATCATTAAAATATCATCTATAGGTTGATTAAATGGCACGTAGCAACACTGCATATTGCAGTTGAAAATGTTTACATTTTCCTATTAACTATAGAAACAAAATTCCAATATTAAAGGAATAGCCAAACCAGAAGATCAAACTTATTTTAAGCAAATTTAGCAAATTACGCAACTAAATTTCGATGGATCTATGGAAGTGGAGATGAATGCAGTAAAAACAAAGATCACTAGCTGATGCACTCTTCTTTGTAGCAAACAGCCAGCTACATGTGTCATAATTCATTTAAACACTGCATGTGATATTGGCTTTACCTTGGTGCAGAAGCCTGTGCTATGACCAGGCTGCAAAATGGGTTACTAACCGCATGCAGTTAAAATGCAAGCTGACCCATTTAGTTGCAACTGAAAGCTCATACACAGCCCAAAAAACATTCTTCATCGACATCATCCAGATATTATGATTCAGAGATTCAGAGACTGCCAATTCAAAGAGTGATACATGTGGCTAAACAGAGGAATTGCTCCGATCTGTGATTGGGAGATAAAAATAGAATTCGTGACATCTCTCAAGTCTGTCAAGATATGACACACATACAACTCGATTGATAGCAAAACCTAGAGTAACTGTAAGGCCCCTCTCTTTTCTTTTTCTCTTCTTCTCTCCCCCTTCCCATATGCCGGGCTTCCTGTGTCAAAACGAAACATCGGCTGACGTTTTTGAGCTAATCAGAGGTTGGAGTGACGTTGACCTAAACCATAAACGGAGGAATTGCTCCGAATACAACACAAACGC